TCTTGCTGTTCTGAGAACAAAGCATTGCAGTAGGCAAGTCCAGAAAACACGGTGTATAATTACAGTACAAACTACAGTAAATCAGAGTACAAACTTCTGTGCGTTCACATCAGCAATACTACTGTAGTCCTGTTACATTAGTAGTGACATTGCTGCTGTGTAATCATTATTATTATGTAACTACACAGTTATTGGAGACACTTAATATGAAGTGGGATCTGTATGATTCTTCCTTCTCTATGTTTTTATGTCTTGCTGAGGTAAAGTGTCCTTGGGTTTGTGCCGTTGTTTGTTGTTATTAAGACGGCTTGTCTTCGTACCCCACACCTACTGTCCTTTTCCTCTTGATCTATTAAGACCTTTTGATCTTGTGTCCACAGCCCAGGCGGATTCTGAGTGCTAGCACTCGTTCTTCTTACCGGACTCAGAGCCGCTCCGAGACAGCTTCTCTAACCGCCCCTATAATGCACTTCCCTCTGACTGAGGCGGGGGTATCAGCATATGCACCATGTGTTCCTGCCTCCATGAATAATGCAGCACAGCGTGCACGTTGCCCTTCTGTTGCACGAAGGTTAAATTATTTAGTCTGAGATACGTTAACTCTGACGCACGTGGATGTACAGGCTGGCTGCGTCTGACAACATGGCCCTTATATAATGGTCCGGTGTCCGCGGTCCGGAATGGAAGGGAAGGCCTGACCGTGCTTGTCGAAGTCCAGGCCTCGTTTCTCTCTCTTCCTTTGAGGGCTGTTTCAGAAGCATAGCGAGCAGCATTTTGTGAGCAGCGAGAGAGTGTGGTCGGACTCCGAATGTGGACATGAAGGCTCGTTATCCCACAGCCCAGCCCACCCCCCCACCCCCCCGACTCTGCTCTTCTGCTCCTGCTTGTTATGAGCTCTGCTGTTGTAGGCTGGAGCCACGGAGAGGAAGCGCGCTCCGCTGTCTGTTCACCTGCCCACCTAAGAGGAGCTGAAAATAGCAGCCACCTGCGCACATCGTGCCTCTCTCTCTCTCTCTCACGCTTTCTTTTTGTCTCTTTCTAGCCTAGTCCTTCTGTTTCGTACACAGTCTCTCTCTGTCTTTCTCCTCCGTATATACAGCCTCCCTCCCACACCCACACGCACAGCACTGCCTACAAACAGCTCATCACCAGCCTGGCATCAGCCCCCACATTCGAGGAAGGAGCCCGTCATATAACCACTCAGACCTGGCAGTCAGATATCCAGCACATTGAGGCAAACTGCCTGAACGTGGTCTGCAGTAATGATGGGGGGATGTTCCTTCTTTTACATTACTCCACAGTGTGTTTCCGATGTGCATTACTCAATCATCATCCTCATCATCTTAAACCGCTTGATCCAGATAGGGTCAATCACAAATTTCACTGGAAATACTCGTGTCTTTCCCACAGGAGTGACTGTTTGGTCTGGAGTCTCTTTTTAGAGGTTTTAGTGCCTCATTTGAAATAAACCTCACTCCACTGACGCTTTTGGATCAGCGTCGCCACAATCAACAATAATAATAAAGCTTACTTGATCTCTGCTCCTTTGTCATTAGTTCATCAAGCTGATCAAACTACTCAGGCCGCTGGTGTTCGGCCAGAAATCAAACACAGATCTTCACTATTATTTTAAGGCTCGCCTGTCGTTTTTATCAGGGACCGACATTTAGAGCAATAAGTCAGACGTTAAAACAGGCAGATTATACTGACGGTACAGCGCTACTGATGAATTCCCTCGTTTGGTCGTAAAATGCGTCCCACCAGCAGTGAACTGAACCGGTTTGGTTGGAAGCAGACCGAGACCCGCGGGTCTCACCTGTTTGATGCAGACCCGAATACGGGTGGAGTGTTCATAAACGTCAGAACGGAGCGAACTAAAGAAAAAAGTTTGATAGATCCGTACCAAGCAAGGTAGGAGAAACGCAGCGAGGAACGTACCCGTCTCAGGCTAACTGCATTGTCTGAAACTGATGACCCCCTTGGGGTCTCGCCCCAGTAGGCCATGCCTGGTAAACCTCCAACGGGAGGCATCAGATGCCCAAACCACCTCAACTGGCTCCTCTCAGTGTGGAGGAGTAGCGGCTCTGCTTCGAGCTCCTCACCCTATCAAGTAGAGTGCAGCCCGCTCACTTCTGCCGCTTGTATACCCAAAGCTCATGACCACAGGTGAGGGCTGGGATGTAGACTGACAGGTAAACGGAGAGCTTTGCCTTATGGCTCAGCTCCCTCTTCACCACTACAGTGACCCCATTACTGCTGCCGCCTGCGGCCGATCTCACCATCCCTCTTCCCATCAGTCATAAACAAGACCCCCAGATACTTAAACTCCTCCACCTGGGGCAGGTCCTCAGCTCTTGCCTGGAGTGGCCATGCCATCCTTTTCCGGGCCGGGACCATGGATCACTTAATCAATCAAGTTTTATTTGCATAGTGCTTTTCTACAGTGGGCGTTGTCACAAAGCAGCTTTACCGAAAATCCGGGTCCAAACCTCAGATGAGGAAGCCGTGGCAGGAAAACTTCCTCAGAGCAAGAGGAAGTAACCTTGAGAGTAACCAAGACTCAGAAGGCGTTCTGTTCCACCTCGTGTCCACCTCGTTGTTTCTATACTCACTGTCCATTTTATCAGCTCCACTGACCGTATAGTTTCACTTTGTAGTTCTACAGTTACAGACTGTAGTCCATCTGTTTCTCTGCATACTTTGCTACCCTGTTCTTCAGTGGTCAGGACCCCCACAGGACCCCCACAGAGCAGGTATTATTTGGGTGGTGGGTCATTCTCAGCACTGCAGTGACTCACTGTCACACTGTCCACTCTATTAGACACTCCTACCTTGTCAGTCCACCTTGTAGATGTAAAGTCAGAGACGATAGCTCATCTGCTGCTGCACAGTTTGTGTTGGTCATCCTCTAGTCCTTCATCAGCGGTCACAGGACGCTGCCCACAGGACGCTGTTGGCTGGATGGTTTTGGTCCTCAGTCCAGCAGCGACACTGAGGCGCCACTCATGGTCACTAGCATACCCAGAAAAATGACCATTTCTTTCTCTATTTTTTCCCATTTTCACACTCACAGTGGAGTAAATTACACTTTTAAAAAGCTTTCATTTTCCTCTTTTAGCCTGGACATTTCCATCTCCTGCACTCTGGAGACTGAGCTGCATCACTTCTTCTGTGAGTCATTTGCTTTAAGGGTTTTCTGTGCAAGTGACCAGCAGTGTTGAGCTGATTTGCTGATAAGTGCTGGCAGTGTCTGCTCGTAATGTAATATGCTGTGTGAACCACAGTGCATGTGGGGAAGTCACATGTTTGTTGCATGACGGCTGTCACTTACTCAATTAAACTTAATTACTTTAAAAAAGAGTCGAGTCAAATTTACCATCTCGATGAAACAGCAGTGATTAGTTAGGGTTTTCAGAATCTCTGACTGGTCTTTCTTTCTGTGAGAAACAGAGTCTGATGGACGCTTTTTGCCAGTAAAGTGTTTTGGAATGTTTGAAAGGCTCTGGATTGTTAGCTACTGTGATTTAAGTCTGTTTCTGTTGTCTGACCTTTTTCAGAACTCATAAAAATAATCAGTATTTGTATTTTAATAGATTTTGACAGCTCAAGTTTGTACATCATTGACTCCCAGAACTTGAGCTGGCAAGATTTTGAAAAAAACACACTGATCCCTTGTATTCCTAGTACGAACCACTGAAATTTCATATGTAAGAAAGTATATTTTTCCTAAAGTATGAGGTCAATAAAGTACTTATACTTTGATATTTGCTTTAACATGATGTGATGGATGGATGGATGGATGGATAGATGGATAGGTAGATAGATGGATAGACAGATCGACAGACAGACAGACAGATCACTTTATTAATCCTAGAGGGAAAGTTGTCTATTACAGCAACACAATATACAGTAAAGTGCAAAACAAGAGCAAAAGTACTGCCGTAGGCTATTATACAGATTCAGAAATAGAAGTAAAGATATATAAAAGTAAAATTGCACAAATATTATGCAGGTGACAGTGCAGTTGTGCAGATCACATCCAATGAATGAACAGAGTGACTAAACACTGTAAACAATAACATATGTTAACAGTTTTGCAATATGTCTGGGTGTATAAACAAAGTGGCCATGCAGTATGCAATATATATGGATGTATAAACAAAGTGGCCATGCAATATGCAATATATATGGATGTATAAACAAAGTGGCCATGCAAAATCCAATATGTATGGATGTATAAACAAAGTGGCAGTGCAATATGCAATATATATGGATGTATAAACAAAGTGGCAGTGCAATGTGTATGGATGTATAAACAAAGTGGCAGTGCAATATCCAATATGTATGGATGTATAAACAAAGTGGCAGTGCAATATATATGGATGTATAAACAAAGTGGCAGTGCAATGTGTATGGATGTATAAACAAAGTGGCAGTGCAATATCCAATATGTATGGATGTATAAACAAAGTGGCAGTGCAATATGCAATATATATGGATGTATAAACAAAGTGGCAGTGCAATATGCAATATATATGGATGTATAAACAAAGTGGCAGTGCAATATGCAATATATATGGATGTATAAACAAAGTGGCAGTGCAATGTGTATGGATGTATAAACAAAGTGGCAGTGCAATATCCAATATGTATGGATGTATAAACAAAGTGGAGGAGAGCATCATTAAGGCTTGGTTGCCAGAGTTTTTGAACTCATTGGAAAACCAAACCCTGGTCAGCCTTCGCTTATGACCTCTCCTGGCACCATGAAGTCCAGTGCGGCTTTGAATGGCTTAATCTCTTTTGTGCATCAGTGCAGTCAATGGCTTGAGCCTTGTGTAAGTGCGTTACGGTGCACAGAGGTGCGTAAGAGTCTCTGAGAGCTGTTAAAGCATTTCCTGTGCATTGTTAATTCAGCTTAGTTCATTAAAACCGTCTGTCTGTATTTAACACTGAGCTCAAGATGAAAAACTATAACTTTATCTCCATTTTCCCTACAGGTGGCTGTCAAGATCATAGACAAAACCCAGCTGAACCCCACTAGTCTACAAAAGGTAAGGCTTCCCTCTTGTTCGGCCGGTCATTTAATTTTGTGTTCTTATCCCGTCAGTCCATATTATGAGCCTGACGGAGTGGCCAAGCTCCATTTAGGCTCTTTCAAATAACAGTGCTTTTCTGGTCCTTCACAAATCGCCATTCGAATTAAATGGGCAATTGCAAAATGATTAAATCATTTAATTGTGGGACCATTAAGGCAATGCCACTCTCCAGCACGTAATCGAAATATCAAGTGTTTTCCCCGCTGAGTGTCTGAAATGTTGCAATTTGCTCCCCATGTCACAGAACAGCCGGATATCTAATTTCATTATCTCTAAGTGGATACCTTTTATTCGGGCTACATGAAAGGGTCTGTCTGGTTGTCCCTCTGTTCTCCCCTGTTGCACAGATTTTCCATTGCTCCTATAATTCGACATGGATTGCGGACTCAGAGCAGTACTAGTAGGATGCTGTGAAGTCTTCACCATTTCTCAGCTTTCTAAGTATAACGTTCACTGAAACAAAGACAAAGTGTACATGTTATCCAAATGTTTTGGGGACAAATTACACGAATGTTTAATATGCCAGTTCCGCGTTCTCCTCATTATGGACGTCATAGTGACCTATGCTGATGCGTACCGTCGCTGTTGGACAAAAACTTTGTATCTCCAAAGTGGTAGCTTTACCGACAAAGAAAAAACAGTCATAAATTTCTATGGAAGTTACTGTAAATAGATTTTATCCAAAGCAATTTTGGACCATTTCTGTCAAAAATGGAGATTAAAGAATGAGAATGAAGGTTTGTCATGTGCTGCTCTGTATGCCGAGAGACGTCTGAGGCCAGTATCAGTTCTGTCTTTCTGTATTGTGTTACTGAAGCGTATGACAGCTGCAGAGGCAGCTTAGCTGCACGTCCCACTTTAACGCTTAACAGTTCTCACGTTATATCCTTTTGAGTCCGTACAGTCTCAGTGTTTGACCTGTTCCACAGTCCATTGTTGTGCTGTTGCTGTAGCTAATCCTGCCATTTGTCCTGTATTTACTAATGTATGTTGCTTCCTTTCACCAAGCCTGCTGTCGAATGGTGTCCTCGTTACACCTTGACGCTAGTGTTACGCTATACTGTACACTGTTTGTGAAATAATGGGAAATAATTCAGAGAACAGTTGTAGGTCTGTCACAGTCTCGAGTGTAGCTGGTGATTTAATGCCATATAAATAATTTTGATTAACAATTTGTCCCAGATGTTACTCAAGAAGAGTTTTTTTTGCCTTCTTTTATTTATTATATTATTTTCTTTTTATTATGAAAAGTCTTTTACAAAGAAAAAATTACATGGAGTAACATTGAATCAAACAATTGTATCAGTATTTCAATTAGCACCACAGTAAAGCAGTTACATTTAAATGGTGTATATCAATAACAGTACATTGTGATAAAAAGGATAAAAAGGAAACATTACAAACAACATATCGCTGTTGTCGGAAGAAAACCTTGTATCTCCATTTTTGTCGTTTTTCAGGTTTTGACATAATTTGAAAATGCCTGTTGCTCTTTACATTATTTGTAAATTTCATGAAGAACGGACCAAACGAAACGGCCCAAAATGACCTGGAAAAATGTCTGATTCCATCGACTTACATTAAAATTAAAGTAGGTTTTTTCCTTCTCCTGTTACTGTTTTGGAGATACAAGGTTTTCTTCAGACAACAGTGATATACACATGAAATAAACGTTCTTTATAAACCAAATCGTCAAAATTTCTGACATTCTCTTAAAATTAGGATCCCAATTCTCCCTAAAACTATTACAAATTTACAAATTGTGAAGCGTATTCTGTAATAGAGAGGAGAGGAAATGAGAAGGGAGGTCAAAGAAAACCTGCATGTGGTCTCTTTGTCGGGGTCTTACATAAACTAACCATTTAGGCCCTGCTTTTATTTATATACGGGTGATTCTAACAAACTGGTCAAAAGTCAGAGCTGAAAACACATTTCAGATGTTTAACTGACTTGGACTTTACTCTGAAATCCTTTTGCTTTGAGTGACCCTGTACCTCAATTATGTTTATTTTGGTTCATTGTGCTTCATTAGTGACTCTACCCAGTACATGACTCACAAACACAGATTTGAATAGTTTATACGCGTAAAATCTGAATATTTTTGTTAAAACACAAAAAAGTTTACTTACTTGCAGAAAATCTGTGTTTCTGGGGTGACAATTCTTAATGTTACTGATTTTCAGACTTTGGGACACATTTACTTCAAAACGATGGGATCTAACTGATCACCCTGTGGCTGTGAGGGACAGGGATGTGGCTAAAATAAGGCTCCGCCCACATACTAAAATTCTGTGTTTGGGTAATGATATGAAAAGGTGAGACAGCATTTTTGCAGTAGTTTTTAAGTTAAAAATCAGCTCATGATGAATCTAAATTGTTCGGCTTCATTTAAAAGAAGGCAATAAAATCTTAAAAAAAATGAAAAAGTAAAAATCATTTCTACAAATGTAAATTTTTAGGGGTTCGGGTTTGGGGCAGACTTCTCCCCATAGAGAGTACCCTTGGTCTTTTTTAATAGTTTGGACCACAGTTTGAACTAATTTGTCATTTACCCCAACCCAATAGATGAAACACCCAAATCAGACTTATCGTTGAAGTGATCTAGATGCTAAAATGCCATTAATATGTAAAATAAAAATCGCATCTGTGAGATTATCTTGAGCTCTGGTTTCCACGTCTTTTTAGCTCTGATCTTTGGCTCTGCCTCTGATGCGTTAGAGGATGACCCAGGTTTTGTTGAGGAAACTATGAGGCTTGTCATTTCAGGCGCTTCACTTCCAAGACTCTTGAGGTTGAGGTGGCTAAAAATAGCCAGGCTGGCCCATCAATTACTAAGCCATGAGAGAAAACAAGAGAGAGAGAGATACACGAGGAGAGTGTGTGTGTGTGTGTGAGTGTGTGTGTGTGTGTGTGTGTGTGTGTGTGTGTGTGTGTGTGTGTGTTTTACTCACAGAGAGGTTTGCTAATTTTATCTCAGTTTGCCCACCATCACCATCTGCAGGTATTGCTTATGGAGACTGTCAGCCTGAGGTTTTTAGCGTTCTTGTTAAGTTTGCCTCTATAAACAATTGCTGGGCCTTAGCCTCACTGAAATATGATAGAAAGGTTTATAGCTAATGTCTGAAATCTTTGTTAGTGATGTAAATGACTATTTTGATATATTTCTGAGCAATTTTGCTCCAGTATGTTGCGCTGCAGCCTATCAGCAGGTCTTATTTAGTAGCGTGAAAACTGCTGGCAATTTTTTAAATCTGCGCTTAAAGGGGGAAAAACCTAAAATCAAAGTGTTTTATGATTGACAGGAAAAACTTGGTCTGGTTGTTTCTGCGATTGTACAGGGTGATTCAAAAAGATTCATCCGATTTCAAAGCGCTATATTTTTACAACCGTGAGGCGCCTAGGAACCAATCACAATCCAATTGAAAGAGGGGGTCATAGAGTTTCTGACTGTCAGTGGAAGATGGCTCCCTTCAGTCTGAGAGGAGATGAGACCCCTGAGCAGAAAGTGCTCTGTGTTCTTCACTTCAATAAGAGTGAATCCGTCATAACTGTGCAACATGATTTTCGTGGGCAGTGAAGCTCCAACAGCTCAGAGCGTTCGTCGTTGGTTCCACAACACTGGATGATCTCCGAAATCACACTGAAAGAGCTGTGAGTGCAGCGACACCCGACATGCTCAGTCGAGTATGGGATGAATTTGACTATGGTGTTGATGTTGTCTGTACAGCTGGAGGAGGTTCAGATTCAGCACTTGTACAATTACATAATAAACTTTATGCTCATTTAAACCATTTACAGTTCACTGCATTGTTCTGTAATGATTTACAAGTGAAATAAATCATTTTGAAATCAGATTAATCTTTTTCCATCACCCTGTATAGTGTACAGTGTACAAAACCATAATGACTGGCAAAAGTGGATAACATTAACACTTAATTAGACTCGTTTACTCTAATAATGTCTGCTACAATGAGCAAAATTCACTTCCCTAATATAAAGCCATTTTTACTGTATTTTAGTAAGGTTAAAGCTTCCTCGGTGGCCACGAAGTGTGCAGAAAAACATTCTTTCTAACAAAGATGTGTAGTTAAGCATAATTTTTAACAATAATAATTTATAGGTTGAATTATATTTGGGTAGACGTCTGCACACTTGGGTGCACCACCAAAGAATGACCTACATGTGGGAAACACTGTACGAACTCTAGGCCAGTGTTTCCAATATTTTGGACGCAGCGCTGTGTGCAATTTAGCACTTCCCCTGTTGTTACGCCTGATGTGAATCATCAGCTAATTACCAAACCCCTTGTGATGAATCAGGTGTTACAGCAGGAAGAGTGTGAAACAGGATACACTGTACAAGGTAGTCAACGGTTTAATAATATGTGTGACTATAAATCGCGCACAAATGCATATCGCTGCCATGGATATGTTAATAGAATATATTAAGAAAGCCTTGGATCCCCTTCCTTTGTCCTTAATGATGGCATAATAATAACAATTATCTTTTCAAATGCCTCCCTTCCTCTGTACCTCGCTATTTTAATGAATGAGTGTGTGGAGCAGCGTAGAAAGCATTCTGTAAGGGGGAAATAGAAAGCCAGCTGGGGCGTAACTGTAGGATTGTATTGCACCAAGAGCAGGTCCAGTTCCGGAAAGGGAGCAAGCTTTTCAGAACAAGAATGAAGCCATATTCACTGACGGGCTCAACAATGACTTTCATAATCTTATTTATTTTCTCTGTTGTATTGGTCCTTATATTCATTCAGCCGTTCAGTCTTTCGTTCATGCATTCATCGTAGGGCTGCTCGATTAATCTTTTCACCCTTCTTGTGATATGAGTACCCAGGATGAACACATCATTAAGGCTGTGATGACAGAATGGATCTAATTATTTTACATACGAAGGTGTTGTAATTAGCTGGGAGCTTCTAACATTAGAACAGCTGTATACTC